AAGATGGAGTGAGGATGGGTATAATGGGAATCTTCTCTGAATGAAGGATGATGGAACCACTTTATTATAGGTTCCTGATGCCCCAATGTGAAGCTCTGGTGAAGTCTAGGAAGGAGAAGGCAGCTTGTAGCGAAGGGCCCCAGCGAGCCAGGTTCCCGTGTCACCCACTTGCACGATGAGCGCCTCACGGAGGAGAAAGGTCTGGCTGCCCCCAGCCACGCTTGGTCAGGAGAGGGGGTGCGTGTGGCCTGGCCCTCTTAGAGGTTGGGTGAACACTGCGCAGGGCTGTGTGTCCTGCTTCAAGACAGAAAGCACAAGAGAAAGCTGCCCCCTCTGGGCGCAGAGAGAGAAAAGAGCGCACAGGCGTGGTGCGAGCCTTTGGGGCTGGGAAGGTGCCAGCAGTCAGAGTCTCTGAGCCGTCTGATTAGCGACCACTTCTTCACTTGGTCTTCGGGAAGGACCGGGCAGAGGGGAGTGGAGAGGTGTAAGTGGATGTAATCCCTGCTTTGTAAGATTTCAGTGACGATCAGAACCAAGGTCAGTAGCACGTAAATACTTTGAAAGGTGGTATGAGACTGGTTTTGCGTATGTTAGTGTGGGACGGCGGAACTTCTGTCAGATACTTCCCTGAAAGCCCAATTTTTAAGCGGAGGGAGCAGCTGTTGGTAAATGGGGGGGGGGGGCGCCTGCAGCCTCACCCGCTGCCTCCCTTCCCTCGGCAGTCTCCCCCCCGCCCCCCGAGGACCCGTACCTGCTGGGGTTCTGGGGGGAGGGGCCTGGCTCTGCCTCCGGCTAGCCCTGGGCCCCAAACAAGTCACGTGAGCACTCTGAACCTCAGTTTCCTTGTCGGTCAAGCAGACCGTTCCGACTAGATCAGAGTGTTCTTCACCCAGTTCCTGGACAGGGGCTTCGGAGAGGCGTTTGATATTTTTGAAACACAGTGTTTTGTGCTTTTGTTCTGTTTCTGGAGAGACATGACTTAGTTTTGTTTCGATCCTTTGCTTAGGAAGGATCGCATTCACCGAAACATGAAGGAGTGCACTCTTGATCTCTGAGGTTCCCTTCCGGTTCCATCAGTCCGTCATTTCTGTTGTAAATGACAGAAGCTTCCCAGCTCCAACCGGCTGAAGCTGCAAAGGGAAGTTAATGGCTTCGGGACTGGAAGTCCCGGGGCTGGCCCGACTGGAGGCAACACTCAGGTGTTGTCAGGAGCGCACCCTTCTCCACTTATGGGCTCGGCCTCTCTCAGCTTTGACTTCATTCTCTGGTGCCCCCCACCCTCCCAGGTGGCAGAGAGCCTTCAGCAGCCCCCGCCTTCCATCCTGTGCCCTCCCCGCCGAGGACTTCCGGCCACTTTCCAGGGCCTGCACTGATTGGCCCTGCATGGACCATGTGTCTCTCCCAGAGCCAATCGCCGTGGCCGAGGGGAGGAACCAGCCAGGCTGGGAGTCAGGCCAGGATACCCTCTCACCCCCAGGTGCTGTCATCTGGGATTCTGTTTCTTTTTTTTTTTTTTTTTTTAAGATTTTATTTATTTATTTGCGAGAGAGAATGAGAGACAGAGAGCAGGAGAGGGAGGAGGGTCAGAGGGAGAAGCAGACTCCCTGCCGAGCACGGAGCCCGATGCGGGACTCGATCCCGGGACTCCAGGATCATGACCTGAGCCGAAGGCAGTCGCTTAACCGACTGAGCCACCCAGGCGCCCCTGGGATTCTGTTTCTTGGTGTAAGCCCTGGGAAGCGAGATGTGTGGCCCTGTGAGTGTAGCCTGTGGGACAGACAGGTGGGCCTGGTGGGTGTTGCTCTGGTGGGTGTGTTGGGATTGCTAAGGCAACTCCAAGGCCATCCTCCTTTCCTAGGTGGTGTAAGGAGGGGCTCTAGGAGCTCTGGCTGAATTGCTGACCCTGTAGCCCACCTTTGCTTCCGTTTCCCCAGCCCCTCAGCATCCTCCCCTCTGCTGTGACCTCTCCCGTGTAGGAGGGACCCCGTACTGATGGACATGACAGCTCCCACCGCCACACGTCACTGCTGATGTGCCTTTAAAGAGCCATATACATCACTCTAGAGAAGGGAAGGGGGAGAATGAGAGTGGCAGAAAAGCAATTTCCACTGTCATTTAAAAAGGCAGCTATTAAAATTTTACAGGAGCTTTATTGCAGGGGCTTCCCGATCATCCCAGGACTTTTTTTTTAATGGAAAGTCTGGTGATAAAGGAAAATGTTCTGGGTGCCTCTGATTCCCTCCTGCCCTGCAAAGCATCTTAAAACCACAACTGTCAGGGCTTCATAGACCAGCGTAGGGAAAGCAACTACCCAAGAGACTATTTCTGAGCTTTTAAAGAACATGTGTTTTTCTGTTTGGTGTTTCTATGTATAGTAACTGTATCTAATTTTATTTTGTGCTTTCCTAAATGGCTTGGTAGTAAGCTATGGGAATTGTCAAGAACTGCACTCAACTCTGTCCTTCGGTGTTAATCGAGTCATTTGGTTTTGTGAACAAATGGAAATTCAGGTCAGCCTGCTTAAGTATCAAAGGAAGTGTTTGAACTCAAGGCCTGGGACATTCTGTACTGAACGGCTTCAGGCGTGGCTAGATCCAGAGCCTCACAGGAGGTGGCCAGGACCCCGTTTCCTTCTACTTCCTGGCTCTGTATTCCTCTGTATTGGTTTTGTTGTCAGATAGGCTCTGAGGCAGGTCCACGTATATATCCAACCAGCTAAGCAGCGCCCCAGGAGAAAGAAACCATCTCTTTCCCTGTAGTCCCAGGACATGTCCTGAGGCTGCTGTTTATTGAACCTAATCACCCTGGCTTCAATGCCAGGGCCACCCTGAGCCATCTCTGAGGCCAGGAGCAGGGAAGAGGAGGTTCAGTGGCTTTATTGGCCCCGCCTGGATCGTATGACCAGCCCTCCCCCTTCCCTGCCAACTCATGGTGGAGGTGGGGGGCATTCCCGCAGGAATTCCAGGTGCTGAGGGGGAAAGGTAAGGTTCAGGGGACTGACTCAGAAAGGGACCCCTTCCCGTACAACCCGCAAGGATCTGAGTCAGCCCCTGAGCTCACCAGTTACCTCCCTGGGGAACCTGCTACTCCACCTTCACCCTGTTTGGCGTCTGGCTTCGGGATTCCTAATCTCAGGTCCGTGCACCCTTCTATCTGAGGACGGAATTCAGAGGACCATGAAGTTGGCTGGGGGAGAAAGTTACTTGTTTATTTCCTCTACCGTCTGAAATTTAGCACTTCCTTTCCTTCCAAGTGAGGGCCACAAGCCCCGTTGTATTGGCAATAACTGTGACTTTGTCACCACTAGAAGGTAAAAATATTTCCATATCACATTACAATTGTTGCAGATATTGTGCAATATCATTTACACTCCTCTGTTTCTAGATTACTCTAGTTATTGGACCCACCACTAGGATCTCGTAATTTAAAGCATTCATAAAGAAGCACGACTATTACTGTATCTCAGATTAGGTTGTTGTTTTTTTTTTTTTTACAATTTGATAGCTGAGTATAATTGGTTTTCTTTATAACCTTGTGTATTGTATTTTGTACACTTAAAAACATGATTCTGAGGAGGAGTCCACACTCTTCTTTAGCAGGCTGCCAACAGGGGTCTGTGGCATGAGAAAGGCTAAGAAGCCCTTTTGGCTTCTCCAGGAACCTCTAGGGGCAAGATTATTGAAGATAACCTGATTCCTAGATTCTGGAACGTTGGCTAGCTGCTTGCTAGGTTTCCTTCTGGGGAGCTTCATTGAGGAGCTGGCTGGAGTTTGAACTCAGTGTTGGTGTTTGGGTAGCATTCGGACATTGCGGGATTGGGGGGAGTGGGGCAGGGAGGCATTGCCAGCCTATAGTTAGCTCTCTCTTCATGGATCGCCATGACTGTTGGCCTAGCCAAGTGGTCAGGAGCGGGCCCTGGACCCAGGCTGCCAGGGTTCATCCCAGCTGTAATATACTTCTGACTGGCTGGGCAGCCTCAGCCAGTGGGTTCTTTACCCCCTCTGTGCCTCAGTTCCCTAGCATGGGTGAAATCATAGTGTCTACTTCTTAGGGTTATTGAGAGAGTGAAATGAGTCAGCATGTGTCTGCTAGGACAGAGCCTGGCACATAGGGAGTGAGAGTCATTAATTGAATGGCCATTCCTTACAGGAAGGTTCTAGATTATCCCCTCAGATCTCGCCTCCCTGCCTCAGTAAGTACTTGGCCTCAACTGAAATGTGAGGGTGAACAATATGGACAGTGGCCGCTCAGCCTGGAGACATTCATTCATCCATAAAATATCCATTCAAATATGAACAACCCTACTAAATATTCAGAAACATAAATTAATAATATAAAGTTTTCATGAAATACCCATTCACATATGAACAACCATACTAAATATTTTAAGACATAAATTAATAATATAAAGTTACAAGTCAGGACAAGTGCTATTTCTTTGCCACTCCTCTGCTCAGAGTTGTCTGAAGGAAATATCCTCATAATGGCCTTCCATCTGCCCCTGTCACCTCCCTCCACTCGTCCCCTCACTCACCCTGCGCCGGGCACACAGGCCTCCTGATGGCTCCTAAAATGCTCCACACACGTACTATGCCTCAGGTCCTTTGCACTGGCATTTCATTCCCGGGGCCTGGAAGGCTCTTGCCCAGACAGTCACATGGTCTGTGGTCCTCCTGCATTGAGGTGTCTGTCCTCTCCTCAGGCCTTCTCTGACCAGTCTGGGAAGCAGCAGGCCCATCCCTCTGCTCACCGTGCTTAGTTTCCTTCAAGACACTCACCACTCCCTGACCCCGCATTATTTATTGTCTTCCTGTCCTCCTGGAACGTCTGCTCTCTGAGGACAGCGACTTTGTCTTGGTCACCGGCGTACCTTTGGTCCCTAGCACAGAGCAGGTATTCAATAAGTACTCGTTGAGGGAGTGAATTTGTGACTGACAGAAGCTGGAGCAGGAGGGCTCAGGTTGGCCAAAGACATAACCCCGTACTATACTTCTCTGTAGATGCCCAGTCTCTGACCTCGGCTCTCCTGGGACCCTCAAGGAGCACTAGTGTCCAGAACATACAGAGGGTGAGTACGGTGTGGCTCTTTGTTTGCTTAAATTGTGCGACTAGGACACGTAGGCCTCTGTTATTTTTAAAAACTACTTGAAAAAGTGTCGAAGGGAAAATGGAAGTCTCCTTCACTGTCCTACACGTCACCCGCAAGCCTGACGTCCTCCCTCGGAGGTAATTGCGTCAGCAGTCGGGGGTTGTCCTGCCAGACCTCTTCCCGCACACGAATGGTCCTCCTTATGCAGAGACACACTTACGTGCTTTGCAGTATGAAGAGAGAAGAGGCCATGCTCTGTGTGGGAGCCTCTGCAGCACGTTTCCCACTGTCCCCAGCAACGGTGGAGCTTGGAGATCTTGGTTCATAGCATCTGTCGGTGTATCCAACATTTTTTTTTTTAATTAAATTTTAACTTCAATTTTAACTCCATTTACTTTTTAAAATTTACACAGAATAAAATCCACTCTTTGGATGTCCAGTTCTTTGAGTTGAAGCAAATGCATTCAGTTGTGTTATCTGCCACCCCAATCAAGATACAGAATGATCCCCTCACCATCGCCCCCCCTCGTGTGGATGTGCTGTTTCCCTTCAGGCTAAGTATACAGTATAGGTACTTATACATAATTAATATATGTACATATAGTAAGTACCCGTGATAGAAAGATTTTGACTATATTATAATTAGGTCTCAGGGGTTTTTGCTAGTGAACATCCTCTTTTGTTTCTTTGGCATAGACTAAGCAGTGACGTTCCAGTTGCTAGTGGGATGTTCGTAAATGAGGACACCGACCTTTGTTGGCAGGATGCAGTCAGGGTGCTCGGGAGCAGTGGGAGTGGGGGCATCATCTGATCCTTGAGCACCAAATGACCCTAACAGTATGGAAAGTGGAGACCAGAAGATTCTGGCATCCAGACTCTGCACGCAGGTAGTGCTGTTGGCCGAGTTGCAGGGACCAGGGAGTCAAGCTTTGGGAACTGAGCGAATCCAGACAGCCACTTCTCTCTTAGCTGTTTGTTGGATCTCCTCACATTCCTTCCTCCTGGCCTAAGGCTCCGCCCACGTACCCGGAGTGTGTTTGTGGGACAGTCTCAAGGGGCCAAATTTCCATCAAAGAATGCTTCTTAGCACAATTCCTTCTTAACTTTTTTATTTTGGGGGCGCCTGGGTGGCTCAATCGGTTAAGCGTCTGCCTTTGGCTCGGGTCATGATCTCAGGGTCCTGGGGATCGAGCCCCGCATTGGGCTCCTTGCTCAGTTGGGAGCCTGCTTCTCCCTTTTGCCTTTCAAATAAGTACATAAAATCTTAAAAACAACAACAACAACTTTATTTTGAAGGAATTTTAGATTTCAAAAAAGTTACAGAAAACATATGGAAAATTCACATGTCGACCCTTCACGCAGTGTCCCCTCACGTTACCATCTTAATGTACCTTGTCACGATTACCAGAACCAGGAAATGAGCACTGGTCCAGTAGGATGAACTAAATCACAGGGTTTAGTCATGTTTTGCTTTTTTTCCACCAATGACCCTCTTCTACCCCAGGATCCTACTCAGGATGCCACACTTTGTGGTTGTCCTGCCTCGGCTTCATCTCCTCCAGGCTATAATGGTTCCTCAGTCTTCCCTTGTGCTTCCCGACCATAACAGTAAATATGCATTTAAACCCCTTCTGTGATGTTCTAGGCGCTGGGGCTTCAGGAATGAACAAAACAGAATCCTTTCTCTACGAGAACCGACATTCTCCTGGAGAATAAGATAACAGACAAACAGGTGAACGTAGGAGAAGTCGGGTGGGGAGAAGAACTACAGCGATGAGTAAAGCAGGAAGGGGGCTGCCTGGAAGAAACGGGCAATTTTAGGCAAGGTAATCCGGGAAGGCCTCTCTGAGGAGGCCCCGAATGGAAGCAGTAAGGTGGGTGCCCAACCTAATTCTTCCACCGGCCTACAGGAGAGCTAAACCAATTATCTCACTTCAGAACAGGGTTTTGGGAATCCTGGCAAATAGGACAATGTGTCCCCTCTCCGAGGGGCCGCCCCTACTTAGCTCTCGCCCTCAGTTCCCCTGTGAAAATGCCGAGCATTGCCAGATCTTCTGATATATTTTTCCCCAATAGAAGACAAAAATGAAGAATTCTTACCAGTCCAATGAACCCAAATTATGTTACATCAGATAATTTTCAGTGATTTGTGGAGGAACATATTTTGTTTACATTGTATTTGTTATTATTAGTTATTAAGTTACTTTTGCAGCAAAAGATGCCAACTTTTCATTTTGGTAGTACTGTGGTTTCCTTTTTAAATATACACATATATATTTACATATACATATACACGTGTACATAAATATGTGTATACATATATATTTAAGTTTAAAAATGAATTGGTTTACTGGGCCACCTGGCTGGCTCAGTCGGTGGAGTTGTGTGACTCTTGGTCTTGGGGTCGTGAGGTCGAGCCCCACGCTGGGTGCAGAGATTACTTAAAAATAAAATTTTAAAAATGAAAATGAAGTGGTTTAAAGAAAATGTTAAGTGAATAATTGCACAGATGGGACTAGATGCAGCTGAAAAGGAAGAGCAGAATACGGTGACTGAGGCATTGTAAGCACTGTTCAGGCCCAGTCTCCCACACTTTCTCCTCTAGGTCAGGGGTTCTCACCCAGGGACCTGCACGGAGATTGGCGAACTGTTAGCGTGGACTTGTGCCCCGAGCCATTTGTGTTATGGTGGGTGCATCGGCCAGGAATGCTTTTAGCTGCAAGAACAGAAAACCCAGCTCACAGCGGTTTAAACAAATGAGGATTGATTTCTCTCCTGTAACAACAAACCCAGAGGTACTTGGCTGGGAGGTTAGTTCAGAGGCTGAGTGGTGTCTGGTCTGGAGCTTCTTGGATTCTCTCAGCCTTCCCCTCGAGGTCGCAAGGTTGCTGCTGTGGCTCTAGCCACGACAAGGAGGGGAAGGTCCCCAAGCAGCACGTGTTTTCCCGTCGTGAACTGCTTGAGCATTCCCACCCCTCAACCCCCGCCAAAATCCCCCCAGAAGATTCCACTTACATCTCACTGGCTAGAAATGTGTCATGTGTCAAATGAAATTTCATTTAGCTTTCCAGCTTCTCTTGGGGCAGAAACCAGGGGAAGAGGGACTGAAGAATGTCAGTTGGGTTAGCTAGCCAACAGTGTCTGGCTCCACAGGGGAAGAAAAACAATAATCATTAACATTAATGGGTCCTGACTCTGTGCCCAGCCCTTCCCTGAGCACTTTACGTGCATGATCCCATTCTGCGCCCCCCCGCCACCGCACTCACCCTGTGAAGTCGCTGCTGTGATCTCCCCCACAGTGATGACTTGGAAACTGAGGCACAGTGGTGAAGCCACTCACCAAGTAGAGGAGCCAGGGAAGGGGACATTTGCAGTCTGTCGCCAGAGCCTTCGCTCCTGGCACTGCGCTTTGTCTGGGGTCCCAGACTGCTGGCTCTGTGACCTCGGTTTAAATCCTTCCAGCCAGGGAGGAACAGGTCCGCATATTTTGCTTTGGGGAGGTTTCAGTCATTACAAAGCTTTCTTGTGAACCACATCCGTGCTGCGTTAACTACCTCTCCCTGGGTCTGGTCCAGTCCTGGTGAGCAGCACGAACCCCGCGTCGTCTTCCTGGCTTGCAGATCGATGGCTGAGAAGACCTCCTGGCCTCCCCTTTCCAAATTGTATCTGTGATTTTAATTCCTCTTCCTAGAAAGAGGCTCTGGCCTTGTTTCCTTTCTTGGGGTTCTGCTGGCCGATTCAACACACACTTAACCATGAGCCTCCTCTGTGTCCAGCCCTGTAGTGTGGTGGTGTGGGGACCAGCTCATGGCCGGGTGGACCCTGCACTTGTGGGGCTCCTCATCCAGTGAGGGAGGCAGGCCCTCAGTGGCAGTGACTGTCCAGAGCGGTCAGGGCTGGATGGGGGGAAGCCCAGGGGGTGGTGGGCCGCCAGAGGAAATAACCTCACCTCGCTAGCCCGGAGGTCAGAAGGGGCTCCTGGAAGCAGCTTTGGGCCTTAGAGGAGGAAGAGACTCATCAAGGAGCAGTTTCTCCTTCTCCATGTCCCCTTTCTTCAGTGAAACTACCCCTTACGGCTCTTCTATCTGAATCTCCATCCCCCTTCCTCTGTAAAATGAGGGGTTGGGACTTGGGTCGCCATCCATCCGTCTCACAGACATGGGGCATTTCCCATTTCCCATTTCCCAGTCCAGTGCTGGGCCCGAGGCTTACAGGGATGCACTCCTGAGAGAGAGTATTTGGGGAGAGCTCTGTAGGTAAACAGCCTGGAGTGATGAGAGTTCTAACACGGGAAGCCACAGGGCTGCAGAAACTCAGAAAGGACACCAAACCCTGCCTTGGGATTTCAGGGCAGGCTTCTTGAAATCAAAATGGCGATATCAAAAATGGTTTGACGTGGTAACCAAGAGCACAGGCTCCAGAGCCCAGCTAAGCCCCGGGTAGGGAGTGCAACCCAGGGGCCTCCTAGCCCTTGAGAATTGAAAAGTGATTGTGGAGCTCAGATACTTAGAGTAGTGCCTGGTGCCAAGTAGTTACATAATAGACAAGGTGGTGGACGTGGTGGGTGATCAAGGCTTACATGCATTAGCCTTACTGTGTGTCAGAGGTTAGGCAGCTTAGTCTCCGGCCTATAAGATAATAAGCACTCACTGGTGCTGTTACGATGATTTATTTACCAAATATGACTATTTACTTTGCATCTAGCCCCAAGCTGGATGTAGCAGCACTGTGCTCTGGGAACGGGCTTGTACAGCCAAGGCCTGGGCCAGAAATGTCGTGGGAGCAGAGCAGAGCGGCTCTAGTGTGTGTTGGAAACCCACTGCAGTTGGCTTTCCAGTCCTTTTCCAACTCACTAGTCCCGGGGCCTTTCAGCACTGGCCGCTAGCGTGTGGGCTGCCCTTGACCTCTGTGACCAGAACGCATGGATGCTCTGCTCAGCCCATCAGCCGAATCCCAAATTAGACCTGACAGCGTGATTT